ACCCATTACACACCCATGTGTGTGCCCATTGCACGCCCTCTGTGCACCCATTGCACACCCATGTGCGCCCATTGCACGCCCTCTGTGCACCCATTGCACACCCATGTGCGCCCATTGCACACCCATGTGTGCGCCCATTGCACACCTGTGTGTGCTCCCACTGCACTCGTGTGTGCCCGCTGCACAGCCCTGTGCGCCCATTGCACATACCTGTGCACCCATTGCACACCCATTGTGCACCCATTGCACACCCGTGTGTGCCCATTGCACACCCATTGTGCACCCATTGCACACCCGTGTGTGCCTTGCACATCCATGTGTGCCCATTGCACACCCCTGTACACACAATGCACACCCGTGCGCCCCTTGCACACCCATGTGCTTCCCTTGCACACCCCTGTGCACTGATTGCACGCCACTGTACACCCACTGCACACCCCTTTGCGCCCATTGAACACCCGTTGCGTGCTCCTTGCACCCCCCTGTGCTCTCATTGCACACCCCTGTGCATGCCTTGCACACCCACTGTGCTCTCCAGCAACCTCATGGCCACCACCCCTGCGCCCACAGCCCACGCACGCCGGTGCCTTCGTGTCAAGCGCACACGCGTGCTCACCCGTGCCACAGGCACGACCCCAGCCCGCCCTGGCGCACGCACCCGTGTAGATGGAGGCTTCACGCGCGGCCACCGGCATGTTGGAGGTGTTGGCCACCAGCGTCGTGCGCTTCATGATGGTCTCTGTCCTCCCGTCCACCTCCATGGTGAGCTGAGGATGGCGGTACCACGGTGACCGCCGCATCCCCGTCCCCATGGTGCCAGCATCCCTTTGGTACCACCGTCCCCGTGCCCACCTCGGGGAAGTCCCGCAGGACCTCGGACATCTCGTTGCCGCGCTCGCCGCAGCCCACGTAGACGATGACGTCGCTGTTGGAATACTTGGACAAGGACTGGGAGATGACGGTTTTGCCACAGCCGAAGGCGCCGGGGATGGCCGTGGTGCCGCCCTGCACGCACCTGGGGACGGGGGCACGAGGGGATGGGGACACGAGGGGTGGACGAGAGCGGTGGCCATGGGGGGCAGAGGGGCTGACCCCACCACACCACTGCATCCCCGTGGAGGTGGGAGGCAGGAGGGATCCTCAGCCCGCATCCCTCGGGACTTTCTGGAGTGAGGGTGACCCTCACGGTCGCCACCCCTGTCCCTGTTCCCAACCCCATCTGTATCCCAACCCTTGTCCCTCTCATCTATCCTTGTCCCTTATTCTCATCTCCAGCCCTATCCCTACTTCCACCCCTGTCCCATATCGCTCTCTCCCCATCCCTGTCCCCAGCCTATCTCTCTCTGTTCCATATCCCCAATCCCATTCCCTGTCCCTATCCCCATCTCTTCCTCTCATTCCCTCTGCGATCTGATCCCTGACCCGTGTCCCCATTCCTAACGCTGCCCCTTATTCCCACCTCCAACCCTATCCCCACTTCCATCCCTGTCCCACATCGCTCTCTCCCCATCCCTGTCCCCAGCCTCTCTCTGTTGCATATCCCCAATCCCATTCCCTGTCCCTATCCCCATCTCCATCTCTATCCCCATCTCTTCCTCTCATTCCCTCTGTGATCTGATCTCTGACCCGTGTCCCCATCCCTAACGCTGCCCCTTATTCCCACCTCCAACCCTATCCCCACTTCCATCCCTGTCCCACATCGCTCTCTCCCCATCCCTGTCCCCAGCCTACCTCTCTCTGTTCCATACCCCCAATGCCATCGCTGTTCCCCATTCCCTGTCCCTATCCTCATCTCCATCTCTATCCCCTGCCCCTTATTCCCTCTGTGATCTGATCCCTGTCCCCGTGTCCCCATCCCTAACGCTGCCCCTTATTCCCACCTCCAACCCTATCCCCCTTCCATCCCTGTCCCACATCGCCACCTTCTGTCTCCATTCCCATCTCTGTCTCCGTCCCCATCTCCCAGCCCCGTTCCCGGCCCCGTTCCCTACGGGAAGAGGGCGTCCAGCACCCGTTGTCCCGTCAGCAGCGGGTGATTCGCGGGCAGCTTCTCTGCCACGGGCCGGGTCTGGCGCACGGGCCAGACCTGCAGCATCGTCAGCTTCTCCGTGGAGCCCTGGAAGTCCAGCTCCAGCACCACGTCCTGGGGACGGGACAGAACGGGACGGGCAGGACCCGCATCCTCCTCCCCCATCATCACCCCGAGCCCCGGTCCCGGTCCCGGTCCCGGTCCTCACCGAGACGCTGTAGCGCCCGGGGGGGGCGATGTAGGTGACGGTGCCCCGGCTCCGCGGCGGCACCATGATCCTGTGCTGGATGAGCGAGTTCTCCGCCACCGACCCATAGATGTCTCCACCGGTGAGGTGGCTCCCGACCTACGGGGCAGCCGTGAGGGCGAGTGATGGGGCTGCGACCCCCGGGGGGTGCCGGGACAAGGTGGGTTTGAAGGGGGGGGGGGGTGTCCCCACATCGGGCCACGCACTCGGATGTCCTTGCTGGGGGCAAAGTCCCAGTCGAGGTGGCGGGCGAGCGCGGGGACGTTGGTGCCCCGCGGGATGTAGATGCTGTGCGTGAGCTCCGCGATGTCCCGCAGCGGGCGCTGGATCCCGTCGAAGATGGAGCCGAGGATGCCGGGACCCAGCTCCACCGAGAGCGGCTTCCCCGTGCGCAGCACCGGGTCCCCCACCTGCACTCCCGCTGTGCCGCGCTCAGGAAAGGGCACCGGGAACACGGGGGGGGGACCACGGGGCAGGATAGGGGGGACCGGGAAGGACCAGGGGGGACAGGGAAAGGTGTGGGGGGATAAGGAGGGGACAGGGCAGGATGGGGGGAGCGGGAAGGACCAGGGGGAACAGGGAAAGGTGTGGGGGGATAAGGAGGGGACTGGGCAGGATGGGGGGGAGCAGGAAGGACCAGGGAAAGGTGTAGGGAGTTAAGGAGGGGACAAGGCAGGACAGGGGGAGCGGGAAGGACCACGGGGGACAGGGAAAGGTGTGTGGGGATAAGGAGGGGACAGGGCAGGATGGGGGGAGCGGGAAGGACCAGGGGGGACAGGGAAAGGTGTGGGGGGATAAGGAGCAGACAGGGCATGATGGGGGGAGCAGGAAGGACCAGGGGGAACAGGGAAAGGTGTGGGGGGATAAGGAGCGGACAGGGCAGGATGGGGGGAGCGGGAAGGACCAGGGGGACAGGGAAAGGTGTGGGGGGATAAGGAGGGGACTGGGCAGGATGGGGGGGAGCAGGAAGGACCAGGGAAAGGTGTAGGGAGTTAAGGAGGGGACAAGGCAGGACAGGGGGAGCGGGAAGGACCACGGGGGACAGGGAAAGGTGTGGGGGGATAAGGAGGGGACAGGGCAGGATGGGGGGAGCGGGAAGGACCATGGGGGACAGGGAAAGGTGTAGGGAGATAAGGAGAGGACAGGGCAGGATGGGGGGAGCGGGAAGGACCATGGGGGACAGGGAAAGGTGTGGAGGGATAAGGAGGGGACAGGGCAGGATGGGGGGAGCGGGAAGGACCATGGGGGACAGGGAAAGGTGTGGGGGGATAAGGAGGGGACTGGGCAGGATGGGGGGAGCGGGAAGGACCATGGGGGACAGGGAAAGGTGTGGAGGGATAAGGAGGGGACAGGGCAGGATGGGGGGAGCGGGAAGGACCATGGAGGACAGGGAAAGGTGTGGGGGGATAAGGAGGGGACTGGGCAGGATGGGGGGAGCAGGAAGGATCAGGGGGGACAGGAAAAGGTGTGGGGGGATAAGGAGGGGACAGGGCAGGATAGGGGGGAGCGGGAAGGACCAGGGGGGACAGGGAAAGGTGTGAGGGGATAAGGAGGGGAGAGGACATGGGGAAAGGGCAGGATGGGGAGAACAGGAAGGGGACAGGGAGAACAGGACAGGATAGGGTCCCATGTTAGGGACCAAGAAGAGAGCAGGACAGTGGGGACAGGGCAGCACAGTGGGGACATGGAGGGGACCGGGCAGAGAGAACAGGATAGGATGAGGGGACGGTGAGGACAGGACAGGGAAAATGGGACGGGATGGAAGGACAAGAAAAGGATGGGGGGGGGGGACAGGACAGAATTGGGGGAACAGGAAGGGGACAGGATGAGGGAACAGGAAAGGGATGGGGGGACAAGGGAAGATGGCAGGTGACTGGAGGGGGGGTATAGGAGAGAGTGAAGGGATGCAGGATGGCGGGATGGGGGCACACAGGGGCAGCAGGATACAGGTCTCCTCATAGACCTGGAGCGTGGCCATGTCCCCCTCCAAGCGGATGATCTCCCCCACCAGCTCGGCGTGCCCCACGCGCACCAGCTCGTACATGGCTGCTCCCGCCATGCGTGAGGCCGTCACCACTGCGAGGACACCGGGATACGGCACCGTCACCGACCAGCCCCATCCACCAACACCCCCCCCCCCGGTGCTCCCCCGTGCGGTACCGGGCCCCGAGACGCCGTGGACGGAGCCCATCAGGCTCTCATGCTCAGCCTCGTCCAGCCGCGGTGCCCTGGTCCCCTCCATGGTGTCCTCTGCCAGCCCCGGTGGCACCGGTGTTATATGGGGCCGGTGGCCGCAGGGAACCGGCCGGGCCCGGTGGCGGTGACGCCGCAGGCGGGGGCTGTGTACAGTCAACAGCGCAGTGCCACGTGCCAGCGCGCACCGGCACGCACCGGCTTCGGCAGGGGCACGGTGACACCGTCCCTGCCCGCTGCCACCACCTCCCAGCACCCCCATATTCATCCCCCACCCCACAAAGAACCCCTTCCCCTGTCTTTTGAGGCCCACCCCCCGCCATGGCACCCATCACCCCCATCCTCACCCATCACCACTGCTGAGGGGGAGCTCTGGAAGTCGCTTGGGGCAAAACGGGGGGGTCTGAGCCTATATGGGGCTGCACCCCCTTTCCCTCCACCCCCCACCCCAGCCCCCTTAGCACCCACAACCAAAGGGGGGAAAAAACCCCAACATTTATTTAACAAAAGCACAATGAGGAGGAGGAAGCCGGGACCCGGCGCTACGAGACCAGGACCCCGGCAGAGCCTCCCTTGGCCGCGGCCCCCCCGGCCCCATCGCCGGGCGGCTGCCGGGGCTCATCCTCGCCCACCAGGCGGATCTGGTGCTGCTCCCGGAACTCGTTCAGCTCCCGGCCCTTGGCCTGCAGCTGCTGGTTCAGCGTCGCGATGATTTTGCTGATCTGGAGGTGGGGGGGGGAAGGTAAAAGCGGCTCCCCCGGTGGTGGTGGTGGTGGGGGGGAGTACGGGGCACACACACGGGATGGGGACCCCCCCCCGTTCCCCTGACCTGCTCCTTGTTGCTCTCCAGCGCGGGCAGCACCTCCTTGACCGTGCGCTCCACCAGGATGCCCCCCACCATCCGGTAACACTTCCGCGTGGGGT